AGTAGTATAGTGCAGTAGTCCAGAATACAAAAAAAGGATGGGGAGTAAATATTCTGTATGTGAGAATTTACATTTTGAAAATAGATTATAAGAATCTGGAGAAAGGAATTGATGACAATAGTAAAAAAGTTGACACTTGAGTATTTTTTGGGGGTCACGATGTGATCGTGCCAAAATATTAATTTGTTACGGGTCTTGGAAAATTTTCATTCATTAATGGAATTATATTTAGTGCGCGCGACATGCACAAATGAATTATTTTTTTCAACGTCACGAAGAAAAATAAAAATGGTACTGTCCGTTAAAGTGGTCAACAGTGGGGGCGCGATAGCAAAGGAATAACAGGGTGTAGTTTTTGCCGCGCGTGTTAAAAACACGCACAAATTATGGTCGCGACAAACAAAAATTATACCCTAAGAAGCATCTCTCGGACGCCCTCTATAAATGGTTGAAATTTTCTAGACGAGTCCTTCTTCTTTTTGTGTTGCAAAAACACCCAAATGTAATTATTAGACCTCCCTGTGATGAAGAAGTGGAGGCAGTCAAGGATTCCATCAAAAAATATGTGAAATACACAGTTCCTGGTTGTCGTGGGCCCACGACAACCAAAATTTATGTAATTTGATACATAAAACGAGTCCGGCTGGCCTCATTTTTACATATTTCTATGTTTGCGGGAATCCCCCATTGTCGAACGAAACGTCTCAGGGGCCTGTTGAGTCAAACTGAATGATCCTATCCCTAGTAATTGCATTCGCATTACAAGCAAGAAAAACAATTATACGAGGTACAAACCCTAATGTGTGGATCGTATCCAAGATAGGTTATGAGTACAAGAAAACCGTGCAGTTTTTACTAGTCAGAAAAAAAACACCAGCCTGAGGGTTGTCTCACCCTCCAGACAGACCGATTGGGGAGACTTCCCCTCCACACATATGCTGGAATAACTTCATTATTAATAAGAAGGGGATCCGGAAGTCTCAGATCAATTGACCAACAAGTGTTTTTTTAATTAAAGTTATTCATATCAGTATCGTAGCATCCTACGTACAAATTAGTACTACCAAATATTTCGATATAAAAATACTTATTGTTTTTTTTAAAAGTGAGACAGGTTCAAGTCAGGAACCCTAATGAGGTGTATTGTTCCATCCGTAGAGCCGTGTAAAATTTGTACTGGCTCCGGACCTGTCTCCACCTCATTAGGGTTCGTACCTCGTACCTATTTGCACGTTTGGAGGACTTACCGTCACGAATGGATATGTTTCTGAAGCATGGTACTTAAGTCGACCATTTGTCAGTTGCTTCTCTGGAGAACGATAATTGTTGTTTTCTCTTAAGCTCAACAGAAATGAATCATCTTCTTGAAAATAAATACACATCCCGTTTGTTTATAGCTCTGAATATTGCCGGCTGGAACCACATAGAAACTCTGTTTCCAGTACTTAATGCTTCGGGGGGATTCTCCCAATAAAAGGTTTAAGAACAATAAAAGACAGTAAATGGTATTTGGAGTCTCATTACTTACTGAAATTGTAATCGCTAATATTATTGATAACAGATTTTCTTGAGACTTAAGTCGAAGAGTCATCTTTATGACTAAACAATATGTTATTATTTCATTTTGTTAACTGATTTGAAAAGTTTATATATCGCTCTACGGCTGAGTCTAGCGGGTTAAGTAGCAATCAATGTGGATGGTCTCTATTCTTTTGATAAATTCCAATTATACGACGCAAATGACATCACTTAGGAGTCTTTGTTGTCCTTCGGGACCRAAGGAGTCGAGACACTTGTGTCATTTTTTTCTTTCGCTTTTTCTCTGGTACATGCCGAACCGTTGATATCACTTTGCTACATTCATGGCTTTCTAAGACCGTGGGACGTTTTTACCCGTTATATTTTTGCTTTCTCTAACGTTCTTGAAAACGCTAATTGGGGAATCGAGTGTTATCCGGTTTCTTAAGATACGCGTTGAGCAGTTCCTTTTCCAACTTTCTCAGCGAAGAAGAATCTCGCGAAGGTGTGCACGCGATATGATAGGACTACACGTGCCGAGCTCGGGATACAGTGGTTGAGCTACATTCCCCACTGACTACAGTACCGTAGGAATTATTTATGACGTGAAACTGGATGACCTTCATTTGTTGCTATTTTCTTCCGTTTATTTCATCAATGACTTAATTGTGCTCCCACGCAATTTCATGAGAACAAAGTGTTAAGGTTTATGTGGGTTCACCCTCATTTTTGTTGCGAGTCCTCCATTTTTCATGTATTTTGAGAATTATTATTTTTATTTTCATCCAATTGTGTACCGGTGAAACCCAAAAGCGAACATAGAGTATTTTCATTCCATCGAACCGGTCCAAGTAAAACCGATTGCCCTCTATTGACAACCTCGAAGCAAAGCCCACTGGTTTACCTACTACTGACAACCAACTCTTGCCGGGACCTCACCTTCTAGCAATACCAAGCAGCGTCCCTCAAGTGACTCGTGCAAGAAAACGATGAGTAGCAACAATATGACAGCAATGCCGATGGCCCCCGGCATGGACCCCCACATGGTAGCTTACTTCCAGGCACAGCAGCGGTTGCAGAAACATCAGCATCAACAACGAGGGCAGCAAGCATTGCCACCGGGCCCAAACAATGTCGCCTCTCAGCAACAACCACACCAACGTACACAAGGCCAGCCACCACGTCAAAATCAACAGCAACCCCAACAGCAACAGGGCCAGCAATTACAGCAAGAAGTTCTTCCGGGGAGGAAACCCCGGGCCGACGCCAACGTCGCAAGCGTTTTATTGCAGCTCAAAACGAAACAGAACGGCGAACACGTGCCGGCCACCGAAGCCGAAGCCCTGCGCATCCAGGCAGAGCATCAGGCCGCTCTCAACGTCCGCACGGCGACGGTTCGTGGCCTCCCGCAAATGAATGCGTCTCCGCAGCTGGCGGGGCTGCATGGATATCCGGGAGCACCGGTTCCCCAAGCACCGGGTCCCATGCCGCCCGCCATGGGGATGAACGTGAACATGCCCGTGAACATGCCCATGAACATGAACATGTACGGCTATCCCGGAATGGTGCCCTTCGCGCTCCCCCAGAATTCCATGGGGGGCATGCCACCGCCCGCTGGCTACCCTATGCCGCCCGGGGTCCACGTTCCGGTGCCCATGGGCGTCGCCGTTGGCGATCACGCGAGCGCGGGCCAAATGGTCCAGGGATTGAACCACGCTGCCCCTGGTGTGATGCCGCAGGGCCGTCCCGACAATGGGGGTTCGGTTGCCGGCGGTCACGGGACCGAAAAGGCTGGGACCATCATGACGGATGCCTACATCGAGTCCCTCATCAGCGACGATGTCATGTCGAAGATCGCGACGACGAGGACCGCGAGCAATGCCGAGCCATCCTCCAACGCTCCTCCAAACGTTACGGACGGAAGTACCAGTGCCAAGGACAACATGAATGTGCCTCTGGTAGTCCCGAAGGATCGAGATCTCATCCCGGACGCGCTCTTTGTGGCCCTGGGACAAATGAAACCTACCCGGCTCCAACAAAGCGATCGGGTGGGATGCTACAAGACACGGCAGATCAATTTCTTGGGAATGTGTTGCAAGGTGCGTATTGTATACCTATTGTGCCTGAGCAATGACTGGTTGAGTCTCTTTGAGTTCCGTTTTGATTTTCAAAAAACAATAGCTCACTATGGCCATCATTGTTCGTTTGTTTCTATCACTTGTTCCTGACCTTTGGTTTGTACAATGCAACGCAATACCACGCAATACAACACCACGCAACCCAACCAAACCGAACCCAATGACGCAAAATAGCACTGCGGAGGTCAACCCGGATTTGGACGCTACTTTCCGAATTCCGTTCGCTCCCTGGCACAAACCACTACAAGCCAGACCATTCTCAAGCACATTGGTGGGAAATGCCGGATGTGCCCACCCGCCGTTCGAAAGGCCGTCCTGGAATTGCAACGCCAGCAGGCCCACAAGGACCACATGACCAGCGGACGACCCCGTTACGGCTCACGAAAAATCTTTTTCCAGAGGATGTGGGCCCGCCTCCACGGACGATCTGCGGATGGAGAAACCGCCGTGGTGGTCGAGTCCGACGTGTCTCCCGAAACGGCTCGGGCCGAAGCCAAGCGAGCGAACACCCTGAAGTTCAGCTGCAAAACAAGCACAATCAAGAGTAACATCATAAACAAGACGGTGCCCTTCCACACCACTAAGGAAGAACCTTCTGAGGATGTTGTTCGATCACCTCCATCGGAGGTTTCGAACAATAATTCCGACGAAGAAGACAACAACCATAGCAGCGAGGCCGATGAGTCGAAAAAAGAACAAAACTGTGATGTGGTAAACATCCGTTTGAGCATCGACCACAACGTTGCCACGAATAGCAATAGCAATGTCCATAGTGGTGACAAACGGAAGCTCAACGTCACGACTACGGCTGCTACGAACAGCAGCGAACTCCGAGACGACGAGCGTGCGAAAAAGCTTCGAATCTCTCCTATCGAATCCGTGGAGGTTTAGCCAAGACTAGTATGTTATTTGCTTTGGTTTCAATTTGTCTTCGTTGCATCGGGAAGCATTCAATCGATCGATCGAAAGAGAAACGCTTGTTGCTGAGGCTGCGACTGCTACATACGTTTTCTTCATTTGTTTCCACATCTATATCTGTAACCAAGAGGGCCTCTGAGAGCGTGCGTAATACAAACGCTGCCCATTCAAGCGAAGCCGTTATATACAAACAACGGCTACAATTTTGAGTCACCAGACACTGTGCATCGCAATGGATTTCATTGCTATTTATGGCCTGCTGACCGCTAATACGACACGCCGAACAATGCATCTGATTGATTCTGCACGAAGAATAAATGAACGTATCATTTATCGTCGAAGTACATATTTCATTGATAGATCCATTCATCTCTCTATCCACCCTTCCACCAATGAGGCAATGTGATAGATAGTTCGATGGGGGGCGGGGACCAGGGATCTACTTCTTCTTTTCTGATAAGAAGAGCTGATCTGTAATCATAATCAAACGAACAAAAGCACGTTACAGTTTATTACTTCATGCCATGGCATTACGAGTGCAAAATAATACAAGTACTGTAATAATTAATATATTATTTCATGATTAAAAGAATACATTACAACCAAGTTGTTGTCACAGTAGTTGTTAAAATAAGATAAATCCAACATACTGTTCTGCTTTGCCCTTGTTTGATCACCCTTTGGTAATATCGCAGAACGCTCATCCAAAGTTCGCTATTTTTTTTTACTTACAGTTCTTTTCTTCACAGGTGGGGGTAACGGGTACTAGTACGTAGCCAAGAATAATACAGTAAGTAAAAGCTTTCTTATCAAGGATACTAATTCAGTTGCTGCGAGACTGTAAGCAATACCGTATGTGATATTGTAATAGGGCGACAAGGATGAAGAAACAAGATCTTGCACGAAGACATATTACATATGAGTAACGAAATAATACCCCTCGTACTTGGTGGGGCCTGGGCCTTATTTCTTGTGAATCCACGGTACCGGAATTTTAATTATTCTGGTCTCCGGATGCGAACCGTTAGGTCACGGATCACGGATTGCTTCTCAGTCGTTCGAGAAACGAACCTCACGGCCCGAGCTCATTAATTATCTGAAAAGGCGTCTGATAAGTACGAACGAAGAAGACGTGGTCTCCATTGCTCTTTTTCGAGCAGGTAGAACTGTTCTCTTGGTTTTTCGCTGCAAAGACCATGCAGGTTTSTCAACCGATGAAAGAAAAAGCGCTCGATCTCAATTAATGCTCTGCACCACAAAGTATCTGGTCGTTGTAAACGTGGTTGAACAAGAATCCAGAAAGAACAACAAGACCAATTGGGTCTACTTGTACCGTAGGGTCACTAGAATCACAACTGAAAATTACTAGGTTTGCATCTACTAGTAGTTGTAGTACTAGTACTGGTACTTCTCCATACTACTGGTACTACTACTAGTAGTAGTACTAGTAGTAGCAGACAACAAAACATTGGACACCAAGAACAAGGAGGGCCTCCTGGTGGAGGATGCAGAGGCAGGAGACGATTGCTGACTGGTTCAGCTCAAAAGCAACAAGAAGAACTTCTTGTGGTTGTTGTCTCTAGTACTAGTAGCTACTTCTACTACTACTAGTAGAAATAGTACTACGTCACATAGTAATAGTACTACTACAAGTAGTACTAGCTACTACTACTACTAGTGGTACTAAGCTCCTTCTCCTCGTGGTGCTGGCCTCGAAGAAGTGTTGGAGAGGAGGAGGCACTACTTGCAGCAACAGGTATCACCATGCAGCAGACTTCTTGATAGATCAAGACTCAGTGGTTTCACTCCTCCCGGTGCAAGAGCTGTGAAATTTCAATCAGCCCCTTATTCTTGTGGATTGGATTTCACACTTGTTGTTGGGTGTTCAGGTCTTCTACTCACCATAGTAGTGCTACTAGTASTAGTAGTAGTAGTACTACTACTACTATGTCTACTCCTAGTAGTAGTAATAAGAAGTATCTAGTACTTTTTGCTGAATTTGCAGCAGAGGAGCTTTAGTATTCTTGCTTCTTGTTCCCCTCTCCTCCTCTGCCTGTCTAGTTTATGAGCTACTAGTAGTATTTGCAGTTTCAGTCACTGTTTTGTGTGATTCAATACTAGTCCTTTTCACCACTCTGTCTTTGGACTTGCATTGGTCGTGCTGGTGACACCTGGTCTCTATTCTTTGATTCTCTACTAGCTAGTAGTACTACTAGTTGTGTACTTTGGCGCAAGGACCATCACCATCACCACCACCACCACCACCACCACCACTGGTACTACTACTAGTAGGAGTAACAATAAAGTAGTAAGTACTACTAGTAGGAGTAGTATTAATGTTTTGATATAGCTACTGGTGTGTGCTTACAATATTCTCATGTCAGGCCAAGACACTCCTACTTTACGAATACAAAGTTACTACAAGAAAGAAAACTCTAGTGTCAAAAACAAGTAGTGACGATACTGGTACTAGTACTAGTAGAAGATCATCATCATGCCAAGAATGTAGCAGTATAAATTTAAATTTCAATGCTAACAGTCAAAGAATGATGCTGATGATTGTACAAGCACGAATTCTTGAATGATTATCAACCAGCATGATGTCAACAATCATGTCAATGTCAAAAAAGATTGTCAACCATGTCAGCAATCATGCTACTAATGTCCTCATTTTAAATGCTGCTATTGCTTAAGTAGTTCATTTATGGATCTGCTCCTCTGGCTTGGCTGATTTTGCCACGCTTTCAAATTTTCCATTGATTTCTCTTATTTGGCAGGACCCACCACCATTTTGATCTCTGAAGTCAGAGGAAAGCAAGATTCTTATCACTATTGATCTTTCAAGCCACAATATTGGTAATCAATGGAATCAGAAAGCAGGATATACCAGCAAGAACATCTTGAGMCTAGGAAAAATGTGGTGGAAATTTTTTAGCCAGGGGATGGTGTGCATTGTAGTTTTGAAAGAACGCAGCCAAAATTAGACCCAATTTAAGAAAGTTTCACTGACTGTTAACAAGGAAGTGACGGAAATTGATTTGGGTTTGCTATGGAAAACATTGCCATATATTGCTGTTTAACAATATAATTCATAATGAGCTCGCTCGTAGTAATTTTAGTTTTGTATACCGCCATCAAGATCCTCATCTATACCGTGAGACTCTCCATTCCGTTATTTTCTTGAAGTATCATACAGCGTCAAGATAGTTGTTGTTTACGATCACTTGACACCAAAACCTAAGCCAATACAGTCAAAACGCCGCACTCCTGCGTTCGCTCGTTTGTGGCTTTGTCCTACTCGAATTTCTTCTTTTGTCGCCGTTGCTTTTCTTTTTKCCTTTTCTTGAGATTCCTCTTTCGCTCTCGTTCCTTCTTGCCCTCCGCCACCTCGCTCGAATTCAATTGTTCCTCGGCGACCAGCTTAAACCAGCGGGCCACCCGGTCCTGGTCGACCTCCTCGTTTTCGACGGCGGCTCGGATGGCGCAGCCCGGTTCGTCCCGGTGCTTGCAATCCCGGAAGCGGCAGGATTTCGAAAGGTCGACCAGGTCCGCAAAGACCAAGTCCAGTCCCCTGGCCGCATCGACCAGCTGGAGTTCCCGGAGGCCGGGTGTGTCGAGAACGGCTCCGTTGAAAGAATCTGCACCGGCACCAGCGTCACCGCAATCGCCCCGGATGAAGTGAAGCTGCCGACGAGTCGTCGTGTGCCTTCCCTGCCCGCTGTCGGTGTGGATGTCCCCGGTGGCGGCCACCCTCGTGCCGCACAGGGTGTTGGCCAGGGTGGACTTGCCGACCCCCGAGGATCCCACAAAGGCCACCGTCTGGCCCGGGCCCAGCCAGGGGGCCAGCAGCGAGGTGGCGTCTTGGCGGTTGCGGGCATCGAGACACACGACGGGAACTGATCCGCCGGCAATGGAGGTTGCTTCCTCCGTGTAGTAGTCGAGGAGCCACGAGGAGTCAAAGTCCTCGTCGTCAAAGTCCTCGTCGTCAAACAAGTCCTCGTCATCCGTGTCCTCGTCTTCCACCCCATCACCCATTTCTAACAAATCCTTCTTGGTAAGAACCACGACCGGCTCGACGTTGTCCGTTTCCAGCACCATGGCGATGTACCGCTCGAGACGAGCCACGTTGAAATCCTGGTTGCAGGAGGAAACGACAAAGACCGTGTCGAGGTTGGCCGCGATCAGTTGCGCCTTGCGCGTGTTTCGTCCCGGGGCCCGGCGCTTCAGGACCGACCTGCGCTCGAGGACGGCTCGGATCCGGGGGGGTTCTTCCTCCGGCGCTTGCTGTCCGCCCGAGCGGGTCCTTTCCTGCTTCTCGACGAGGATCCAGTCCCCCGCTACCACAACCTTTTCCTCGTTGCGGTTGATGATTTTCTGGCCGGGGGTGACGGGGATGAGCCAGTCCTCGCCAGCGGCATCCCTTGCCTGGTTTGCACCACCGGCGGTGTCTTCCCTCGCGCCCACCGCGTGGATGGTCTTGCTGCGGACCTCGGTGATGCGCATCGGAACGAGAGGGGCACTCCTGCCACCCTCCTCGCTCGATCCGCCTTGGAAACCCTCGAGCTGAGACGCAAAGTGTGCCTGCCAACCAAGCGCCACCAAGGCCCCGGGCGGTTTTTCCGGGGTGCTGTCCTCGAGTTGCGATGCGGGGGATCCTGTACCCGAATCGGTCCCCTCGTCGAGCCCTTTCTGTGGCACCGCCGATCGGAGAAGAACATGCCGCCGTGGATGGCGGTTGCAACGTTCTCTTCTTTGCCTCCCCGTGTTGGGATCCCCCGAGAAAGCCGGGTTGTGGTTTTCGACAACCACAAAGGAAAACACACCATCGAATCCGCACAAAATCCCAAGAAAGAGCAGGATCGTAAGTCGATTCCCACGACGACAATGGTGCATCTTCGCGTCGAGTCGCCTCTGTTTCGTGCTCTCGTTTGGACAAGAAGGGGCATAGCCTTCGTTCTCAGTCACCATTTTCCTCTCGCAATGGATGCTGGTAGACTTTCGTACCGTGACTGACAAGGCTATTAATTGATCAATGTGTCGACGGATAGTCAGAAAAGTACGGCGGATGGCTAAATGAATGATGATGGGTGCTGCATTACATAACAATTACATTCTTTTTTCTTCTTCCAAACAAATTTACAGGAACGAAGAAAAGTGTACGGTATGATGATGGGTGCGATCGTGAAGGGCAAGACGAGCGTCCGTCGATCGAACGTTGGATGCCATTCGTGATTGGTCGACAACCTCGACTGATCGACTGACTACTACGGTCGTAGTAGTAGTGGCTTCGGCACTATGCTTACTAGGAAAGCAACAAATCCTATGATTGGTTGCGGCCGCCGGCATTTGTTTTTTTTTTTTTAAGGACAGCGGCGGCCAAAAAAACTTACTATGGTGCAAAAACTAGGTTATTGCTAGTGCAAGAACAATGACTTCTTGTCACAATAATGACTGAATGGGTCATTCCCGATACTCTAAAAACTCTAGATTTGATAGACTGACAGACCAAAAATTTAATGAAAATGACTTTAGATTTAGAGTTTTTAGAACCGGTCGAACCACCCGGTTCTAAAAACTCTAAATCTAGAGAGGAACCCACGAATAAAATTTTCGAGTCCGTTGAGGGACTCCTAGAAGACTCAACAGAAAGCCCGCCAAAATTAAGACTCCGTTGGTGTTCTTATACCGGTAGTAAACAACAAGAGCAACAAGCAAGAACAACAAGGCGCCTCCATTCACCATGGCGCCTTTTAACAATGGCGCCTCCTCTGTTAACAACAACAAGAATGTCCGCGCCGGTCGATTTAGTTGCTATATCATACTATTATTACTACTACCTCTCTCTGTTGCATCGAAGAGACCACCAGCAAGAGGAGGATGCCCCCATTCCCTGCATTATTTTCCTTGAGAAGGCTCAAAACACAACCGACAGCAGCAACAACAACGCCATGGCCGACAATAACAACAACAACGGCCGCAGAGCTGGTTCTATCAACTACTCAGAGGAGGAGCTTGAGAGTCTCATGGAGTTGATAGTGGAGGTGCTCCCAATTGATTCTGAACAGTGGGATACTGTTGTAACCAAGCACGCGGTGAAGTATCCCTTCGATAGGAGCAAGAAATCCATCAGGAACAAGTACAACACCATCAAAAAAAAGAGGAGCTCAACTGGTAACCCCAACATGCCCAGGTATGTGAAGCTTGCAAGGCAGGCCCATTACTTGATTGGAAAGAAGGCAAATATTGGTAACGGAGAGGAGGACTTTGACATGAAGAAAGGCTTCATCGTTAGTGAGGCTGAGGAGGGTTTGGAGAGGATCCCCTCTGCTGAAGTACAAGAAGGAAGAGCCTCGATTATCCATGCTGGAGATGCATTGACTGTAGAGTCAGCCATCTTGCCTGTAAAAGTACAGTCTTCTACTACTCCCAATAAGAGAGCCTACTCGAGAGCTCCCGACGCAACTGTATTCAACGAGTATTTGATTAGTCAGCAACAAAGGGACAAAGAAAATCGTGAGATGGCTTTAGAGCAGTCCAAGATTGCAAAGGAGCATTCCCTAATTGCAAAAGAGGCAACACAAATTGCTAAGGAGACCAACCAGATGTGGAAGGATGCTTTGTCGATGGCCATGGCCTGCTTTCAGCAATGGCAAAGCACACACCAGCAGCCGCAGGGGCAAACCAGCAACGATAACAACAACAACGACGACAACGCTTACCAGTCCTCCGACGACAACGCTTACCACCAGTCCTCCGTTGACAAACGACCCCGTATTGGCAACGAATCCCATGGTGAAAACAACTGAAAGGCAACGCTGGTTAGTTTGGTTAAGCACTAATTCAAATGAACTAAWTTACACTGATTGAAATGAACTAAATGAGCYTGCTATCAGCTGCTGTAATCGTATGCGAGCAGTATTGCAAGCAGTATTCCTCGCCGTGACACCAGTAAGCTGTAGTACTGATTGTACTTATTCCTTCGTTCTTTTCTTGTATGGGTTTTTGTGCATACCCTTTCCGGGATTAGAACTGCTGTTTTCTACTAGTTTAGCACGCGGGGATTCCCACGAAAACCGTTCGTATCGGCATGCACATGGAACGAATCATAAAGTTGTCTTCATGGCAGGATAACAAGCTACTTATATTCATTTCYGTATAACTTGCTATGCATTGCTGCATTGGTGTGTATTACGGGACGCGGAAGCGGGCTCAAGGGGTGCACSAAAACCACAAAGCAGTGTTAAGCTGTACAGCTCGCATTGCAGCTTGCTGAACAGCTTGCACTGCAGCTTCCTGTACAGCTTCCACTGCAGCTCCCTGCACTAATTTTGCTTGCTCCCCGCACTAATTCAATACTGCTCCTAATTCAACAATACGAGTGAAACAATGCTTAAGAAAACCAACCATTTATTCACTGGACCATGAGGGGACTGGACAAGAATGAGGGGAGGCGTGGTGTCGAACAGCAGTAAGTGTGTCGACAGCGGATGTCGACTGTCTTCTTACATTCGCGTTGGGTAGTATCGGTTATTCACTGGTAAACATTCGCTAATTACATTCATTTGCTAATTACATTCCTTTCTAAACTTCTTTTTCACAACTAACCAACTAAACAATCGACCATGGGATTTGCCTGCGTCAGGGGAACAAGCCGTTCGCGTCAGGGGACAACTCCCTCCCAACATGGAAAAAGCCTCTTGCAAGATCATGCTTCTTGTATGGTTCGTCGACAGTTGCTGCCGGCGTCCTCATGAAGGTGGATAGGATCTGGTTGTGTCCGATGCTGCTGCATTGGTAGTTGTACAAGTTAATCAACAAGTTCATGATGATCTTCCTGTCTCCAAGCTCCTCCAAGAACATCCTGTCCTTGATTCTTGGAAACTGTCCTTGAATCATCCTCATTCCCCACTCCGACATCTGCCTCAGGGACGTTGCATCCCTATTGATCAGGAGGAGATCCTCCTGTTCAGGGTCATGCTGTGAGCTTTTGATGAGGATATGCTCCTTATTCTTCAAGGCAAAGGCTGAATCTACAACAACCTTTGCCTCATTACATGTGCTATGGACCTCCTCAATTCGATCATACACACCATGGTCTGCAATGGCACTGTCATGCCAAGCTCCGGGACAGTTGAAGACTGCAATCCTGATCCTCCCATCTGGTGCAAAGACAAACACACTGTTGACAAAGGTGTTCTCCTTCCAATCGTTGTAAAAGGCTCTCTGTTTGAACCAGTCTTCTGAAGCTTCAATTGCACTCTTGAGGCCATCAGCAGCGGCCCAGACTCTTTTTTCTCCAAGCCTTGGATACTTCTCTCCAATTGCATTAACATAAGCATTGACTTCTTCCTCTGTTGGGACATTCACCATGGCCTCTGGATGCTTGTGAAGAGCAACAAGCATCACTCTCCTTGAGAACTTGAGCCACTTATACATCACTGTGGATGTTAAGCCAAAGGCCATTSCCATCGACCWTGCAACAGATCCTCTTGTCCTGTACCAGTAAAGGACAAGCCCTATTGCACAGACTGCATCAACCTCTCTCTTTTTCCCCACGGGCTTTCCACTGGGGAAACAAGAAACTTCAACAATTTCATTGTCGGCGTTCACTGTATACTTGTTCCAAAGTGGAGCAAACACATCAACAAGCTCCCTGAAGACGCCGTGATCTACACCACAGCAGTTTAGGAGAGCTTGGTCATCCCCTGAGTGGAACAAGTACAGGAAAGGGGAATTAGCATATCTCCTGATTGCAATTCTTGGTGTTCTCCTGTCCCTCCTACGACGCTCCTCAGGAGACAGCTTTTGCCTGTAACTTTGGTTACTGAGGTGGATATACCAGTACATCGTGATCACTTCCACTACTCCCATTGTCAATGTTGTTCGATCKATGTTGCCTTTTGTTTTGCTGGGAGGAAACTGTTGTCTTTTAGTGTGTTTGTTGTCTACTCACGGGCTGCTAATTAGCGTAAAACATGAATTCATTTCCTGGTATCAAATCAGAAATAATAAGCAGAAACTGAGTTCATGTTTTACTCTAGTGAGAGTACTGCTATCGATGCAGCAGAGTATAGGTGCAAAATTTCATGTTTTACTTTGAACCATGGCGCGCGTTTGAGTCTTTTTAGTCTTTACGTTGAAAATTAATTAAGATTCCAAATTCCCTTAAAGACTGGCATCGAGCCGGCATCCTCTCAGTCTGTCCGTTGAGTGTCTTGATTCCCGTTACTCCAGATCCCTAGATTTAGAGTTTTAGAGATCTAGAGTATCGGGAATGACCCAATGTTTAATCTAGTATTTTTGGTCAAGGTACTACTTTATTTGCAAAAAATGGTATACCAGGTTTGTACAAATCCACACTAAAAACAAGAAGTTTCTTTTTTTCTTGGTACTAAGTCCAGGGCTGTAAGAATTCTTCAAAGTTACTGGCTAACAACGTGCACGAAAGTTAGTGAAGTGCAGTGCAGCAGTGCACAGTAGCCAATAAATTGAAGGTTAGTACAAGCGATGGAGATATTGGTATGTTAGGCCAGTAGCAACAACAGGTAGCTTTCTGGAAGGGTGTTTGTGGTGGGTGGAGGATGCCATGACATTAATCCTCATCATGCATGATACTCCTCCTCTTCCTTTGTTGTCGTTGCGTACTAGTACTACTCCTGCTGTTCTTAATACTAGGTACATGCAGAATCCAGATGGTGGCCCTGCATGATGCTTCAGCCTGTACAAAGAAAAATAAGGACAATGGGAATGTTGGTACTTTTGACACATGATGTGCTCAGGTTTCCAAGCAGCACGACCTTGATTGTGTCTCCTTGTTTGTTGAGGATACATCAATTTTGGTRAAAATCGATGCAGAAGGAAAGTCCCAGACATTCGAGAACAATATTAAGGCTGTGGGCACCAGCACAAAATTGCTGGAAGAAGATGAAAAAAGACAATCAATCTGGACTTGTATCTCCTGTGTGGTTTATCTGATTCTTGAGACCCAGGCCATACCTACAAGATTGGCCCAAGCTTCTCCGTCTGTGTTGGACCTACTCACCAGGATGCTCTTAACAACAATGGCTATGTTGCAGTAGTTGGATTTGAAGAGGTTACSTGTGGTGCAATCAAGGTGGTGAAAGATGGAGTTGCATTAGGAGAAGGCGAGGGTGGCGGAGAAGCTGTAGGAGCAGATGTTGTGTCTTTTGAAACCGTATTGAATCCCAAATATTATTCCAGATTTGGATCCAATGAAGTTTTGGTCAAGTGCAAAGGCAAGGTGGGTCTGAGCTTCACCAAGCCAAAAATGTTTACACAGGAGGGATGCCATTCTCTGGACAGTAACACAACTTCTTCTGAGTTGTGTTTGCAATCTGATGGGGCAGAATCTGATGTGCAGGCATGACTGCCATGATTTTTGCCATGCAATTTCAAAGAAGTACTTGATGTTGGACTGCCCTTTTGAGGATGCAGTTGATGATGATGATGCAACAAATGTTGGTTATTTTTATGATTCTTGTTCTTATTGCTTGAATAAAATAAACACAATCACAAACAATGATTGTTCTGGTGTAGACCAAGGCCTTTGTGGAGGCACCTGTGTCAGTGGCAGTGATTATCATTTTGGTGGTATCTGAGATAAAAGTTTCAAGTCTCCAGTCTAGTACCAAGTGGTTGAACCCATTTGCCAATTGACCGCAAGCTTCTTGACCAAAATTGACCAAAAGTGGTGATCTCTTGCAGTGCCACCTTCAAGAAAGCAAAAACAAGGCAGACACCAAMAGCTTCTTTGGCACCAAGGTTGGTCTCTTGCAAGAGGACAACACAGATGTGGTCTTTGGCGATCTTGCAGCTCCTGCACCAGCAGACACCAGCGCCATACCAAGCACCACATTGTCAACCGCTGCCAGCGCTGCTGTTGTTACCGCTGCTGCCCTGGTCTGAGCAGACAACAAGCTTGAAGAGACACCAATATTACACACACAGAGAAAAAATCCTAGTACATATTGTTCCAATCAAGAAGAAGAATACATCATCATGTTGTTCAGGAGCCAACAAAAGGAGGAACATTAGCTGTCCTGCCCGGCCCGTCCATTGAGGCAGAAAATAAAACCAAAGAAAAACCAAAAATGCTATCCAGTTGCCCCTTGTGGCATGAAACAAAACAAAAGAAGCACCCAAAAAAACCAGTTGCATGTAAGTGCAAGCGCCAGTTGAAATAGTACAGTAAGTGACTGTAGGCACCATACGTTTGTAGGACATCCTGCCTCGTATGAATCATACCTTTACAAATAAGATCTGAGATCTTAGTTTTTCACGAACGAAAGTCGTGTCATGGTACGATACAGTACTGTAGGTACGAGGACTCCTAATGTCAAGCGCACTAAAGTCAAGTACTTGGCAATCCCCGTACAAATACTAATAGAAATTTTTAGCTCATTTTTACAGTTAAAAAAAGGCATCCAATGGACGAAAATAAAAATATTTCCATTGTCTAATTTCTTGCTAGTCCCAAAATATTTCTATTAGTGGTCCTTAATACTTGAGATAAGCACTGATTTGATATTCTCAGTAGTAAGTACCAGGAATAGAAATATTTTCGGACTTGTACTTTTTTTCGTGGAGGAGGGGGAGAGGAGAAATAAAGAGGGGAAAAAAAAAAAATTGACACCCGGGGAATTGCCAAGTACTTCGTACTTGACTTTATTGCGCTTGACATTAGGAGTCCTCGTAGGTACGGTACGGTATTACACCGTCAACCCGTGAAATCTTTCTCTTTCGAAAATCATTACTTCTACTTGGAAGTACGATACCGTTAATTCTACGAAGTATGTTTCTGGATCCGTGGCCCCAGTCGTCGCTATCTGGCTCCGCAACACCCGCATCCGCACCCGACCTTTTGCCGCTCGAAGCACTGAATTCCTCCTCCCGACCATGGGCGGCGAAAGCGATGCCTCCCCTCCTCCGATCCGGATTGCTCTGTTCACCGTCATGGGGGTCGCCGTGAAGAMCGCGGTCCAGAAGGTGATCGATCTCCGGGGCGACCTAGAACTGGCACTGGTGGTGACCTGTCCGGGCCCCCGGTCCCGCCGGAGCAACTCGCACCTGGAGGTTCTCGAAGCCCTGTGGGAGGCCGGCCACCACAACACCGACGTGGTGGTCTGCAACCACAAATCCCGGTACGCAGACCTGATGGTCCTCTACGAGATCGACATGATCCTGTCGATGGGGTACCCTTGGCTCCTTCCCGCTGAGATTCTCTCGCCCGGGAAACACCCTGCCAGTCCGAGGCTGGGCGCCCTCAACATCCACAACTCGCTCCTCCCCGAATACAGGGGCCCCAACGCCTTTGGCTGGGCGATCGTCAACGGGGACCCCGAGTTTGGCTTTTGTGCCCACCGGATGGACGGGACCTTCGACACCGGGCCCGTCCTCCTGACCTGGACGGTCCCCGACGAGGACATCAACCGGCCGGTCTTCGAGCTCCTGGGACCGAGGCTCGCGACGGTCTTCCCCGAGATGATCGGCCGCGCCATCGACAAGATGCTCGATGGGGACCCGGGGACGCCCCAGGCCGGGGGCGGSAGCCACGCCCCCAAGTTCGGCGACGCCTTTCGGTGGATCGACGGGGGGTCCTCGACCGCCCTGGAGGTGCACCGGACCGTCCGGGCCTTTTACGGGGGCCGGGACCTGCCCCTCGGGGCCCTGGCCTCCGTGGGGGGGACCCCGATCCGCGTCACGAGGACCTTCTACAGGGATCCGGCCGGGGAACCCGCAGCGGGCAGGGAAGCCGGGACCGCGGTGGTGGTGGTGGCGACCGATCCAGCGAGACCGCAGTCGGCAAAGGGCGGGCCCCCCGAGCTGCCACCGACCTTCTTTCTTCGCTGCAAGGACACAACACTGGAGGTACTCGAGTGGACGTGGCACACGGACGCGGACACAGATACCGAAACAGACACAGACAAGGGCACAGAAAYATGACCGACACGGCGCCGGGCGGTTGCTTCAACCACCAGTGTGCAAGTCGAAGGGTAGCAGAACCGCGAACTACTGTCTATCGCGCCAAATGGTATTCGTCCATGCGGATGCTGTGCAATATTATGAGCGATTGTTAAGAATACTAGAAGAAAAGATTGCAATTTGTTTTGTCCGTAGAATCGAGCTCTCTTGGTCTTTTGAATCTAAACAATACTACGAAGATCCTTTTCTTCGTCCGACCCGTTCGTTTCTGCGTTATCTTTTTCGCGACAATTCCTAGGCAAAGCAGCCCAAATCGATAGTGGCGTGCCAACCGAGCTGCGGTCGTATACAACAGAGAGCGAGATTGCAGACGAGCACCTTTTTCGAATCACGGTATTCGAGTTGTGCAATCCTTGCGTACGCCAAAGACTACAAATCGGTCCCGAGACGAAGAGACCGGGCATTGCGGTTGCACCATCCTCAAAAACGACCCAGAACGTCGAATTTCTGGTGCCTTGGTTGTGTCGACCCGTGCGTTTGGAGGGTTGCCCGGAACGTTGGATTCCTCTCGGCAGGTTCCCGCAAAAGAGGCACGYGTGGTCGTTCGTGGGCAGCGGGTTGCTCCGGGAGGAAGGAGCGGTGTCTATCTCATTATTCTTTGCATTTGCACGGATTCCAACCCGTGTTTGTTGGTGATACAGGTACGTTCTCGGCAGGAAGAAAATGATAGCCACCGGAGTTGAAAAAACAAGAAAGATATCATCGTAATGTAGTGTAGCTGGTACAGGTTCAATACAGTAGTACGAACCAGTACGTACGAGTGGTTACAGTACCTGTACCCGGTACTGTCTTCGCGATCTTTTACATCAATTTTATTGACGAAGAGAACTCATTCATTACGATGCGATACGTACGAGTACGCGTACGAGTCTCTTACGTACTGTAGGTACAATTGTAGAAGGAGTTCGCATTCACTACCTTTTCATTTTTCATCGTTTTAGGCTGGTTTCTTTATTGCCCTGCGCTCTAAGCTACCGATACCGGTCACATTGGCATCAGCGAATGAAACACGCGCCATGACCACGTGAGGAATCTTCCAAGAAATTCTCGCTCTCAGCTCCCTAATGTATCGTAGGCGCTGTACGCAATGTGTTACTGAACATATGGCATTTACTAACAGAGACGTCAACAATCCCTGCTTGCACACCGAATCAGAATCAATCCTGTAATCCCGCTGTTGTCAACGTTCTCTGAAAAAGGATCTTCCTCTATCGTATCGTACCGTCCCATACTACTATGTACGTATCATACCGTATGTCTACATCACGCATCACACTACAATACGATACCATGGTCATAAATTTCAAAACGTAGAATTAAGAATCAAAATCGAACCATCGCAACACAGTACTACCTCGCAGAACAAAACTTTTCACGGATTCCGATAGAGACCCCAATCACTTCCAGCACCGAAACCAATACGCACTGTGTACTCAACAACATGCCATCGAAATACAACCAGCTCCTCGAACACACCATCGTCGTTGCCGATACCGGCGACGTCGACGCGATCGCTAAAATCAAGCCCCAGGACGCCACCACGAATCCCTCGTTGATCACCAAGGCGGCCGTCATGCCGGAATACCAAAAGCTCATCGAGGAAGCCGTCGAATACTCCAAGGGCGACTTGTCCCTTGCCATGGTACGTGTCTCTTATTGTATTGTATACGAAACCAGTGGCAGCACAGTGTGTTGTGTTCCAATGCCTTGTTGCGTTCCACTGTTTCGTCGACCGGTTGTCGATCCGTGCGGTRTGCAATCCACGAAACTTGTTTCGGCAACGGTCGTCTGTCGCTAACCTTCTGTCCGTCCGCCCGCCCGCCTGCCGTGTCACACAGGACAAGGTCTCGGTTAATTTCGGAATCGAGATCACCAAGATCGTCCCCGGGTACGTCTCCACCGAGGTCGACGCCCGCCTCTCCTTCGACACCGAGGCGACCGTCGCCAAGGCCCGCAAGCTCATCGATCTCTACAAGGAACAGGGTATCGACAAGTCCCGCATCCTCATCAAGATCGCCGCCACGTGGGAGGGAATCCAGGCCGCCAAGATCCTGGAAACCGAGGGCATCACCTGCAACCTGACCCTCATTTTCTCCCTTGCACAGGCCATTGCCTGCGCCGAGGCCGGCGTGACGCTCGTCTCGCCCTTTGTCGGCCGCATCATGGATTTCTACAAGGCCGTGGAACTCAAGAAGGACCCGGCCTTTGCCGGCTTTGCCGCCAAGGACGATCCCGGCGTCGTGAGCGTGACGCAGATCTACAACTACTACAAGAAACACGGATACGACACCATCGTCATGGGCGCCTCCTTTCGCAACACGGACGAGATCCTGGAGCTGTGCGGGTGCGACCGGCTGACGATTTCGCCCGGCCTCATCGAAAAGCTGCAGGCCATGGGGGAGGACCCCGTCGAGAAGAAGCTCGACGCGTCAAAGGCGAAGGAAATGGACATTCCCAAGATCGACGTCGACGAGAAGACCTTCCGCATGATGAACTGCTCGAACGCCATGGCGACCGAAAAACTGGCGGCCGGCATCCGCGGGTTCGCCGCCGACATCGAAAAGCTCGAGGCCATCATTTCCGACAAGATAGCGAGTGCCGCCAAGAAGCGAAAGGCCGACGAGGTGTGAACACGAACCGAATGAAACAACGGAAGGCCGATCATGCTTCGCGGGAACGCAGGCAAAGCGTCGCCACGAAGCAACGGGAAATCAAATCGCACCGAGCAAGGGAACAGTGCATTCCGTGGTTGTACGCATAGATAAGTTGATTAGAAGAAAGATTTATAACCTAACTTGCGGTTCGTTGCATACGGTGGGAACGGTACATACAGTACATTGTCACACGGAGGATCAATTGCTTCGAAGGATTTCACCCGTAGTGTGCTTGCTGCATAGCATGGAGTTCGAGATTTTCACACCGCGACAGTGAACGAGATACTGTGTGGCGTCTACCGACAGTCTAGATACCTGTTTGTAACAAAGAACAATCGTTCCCGGTACAATCGCGGCAACATTCAAAGAGCAGGCAATGGTAGTCAAAGATAGAACAATGTTAACTTTAGTTTAGTTCAGTCCCCGGTTCTCACGTTTGATAGACTCGTTCGGTGACTGTATATAGGTAGGTGTATAATGTAATAATATCTAGCAATCGTTCGGGCCGTTCGATTGCGCTCGCTCGGGGGGAAATATGCGATGCGCCCCCCGTGCTTGCGAAGAGCAAACGGATTCCCATAGATGTACAAACATTTTCTCGCACGATCGAGAAAAAACCGCGGAACCCCTGCGTCGCAGCCACGCTGCTGCGACCCTTGTTCCGGTTTGGCGTGGTGCCGTTATATTTCCGCGTGTTCTAGCTCCTCCCGCAGCACCAGGTCGTCCATCAACCGGTCGTGGCCCTGGTGCGGCAACTGCTGGAGCTTGCGGGCGTGCCGCGGGGAGGGCGTCGTGGCCGTGGTGATGCTCGTCGTCGCCGTGGTGGCCCCGCTGCGCCGGCCCTTGAACTTGGTCCAGGACTTCCGGCTCGAGCCGGAACCGGTGCGACCGGGCTTCGAGACCTTCGTGGGGGGCTCTCGCTTCCCCTGCTCCTTGGCAACCTCCTTGTCCCAGAACTGCTGCTCGTCCCGCCTCCAGGCGCTCGCAAAGTTGGTGGTCTGGGACGAATGGGTGGTTTTCGTGAAAAAGGACCGCGTCCCCACCGACCCGGCGGTGCGGGTAAATTCTAACAAGGAAGGGGACATACCCTTTTCGGAGGCATCCCCAACCCGGGGAGGCGTCACCATTCTTCCAAAGTCGTCCTTGAATCCGTCCAGGACTCCTCCCACCATGGGGAAGTAGTCTTGTGCCACGGAACCCTCCACCGACGTTTCGTAGTCGCTCTCAAAGGTGTGCTGCCGGTTCGGGGCGGGATCCGTCAGGTCGGAATGGATCCGGTTGAGGTTGTCGGCCTCTTCCGGAAAGACGAGGAGCTGCTGCGAAATGGCAAAGACCATGCGATCGACCGTGGTCTGGGTGATCTCGCTGATCCCGTCGTTATTAATGTCCCACGACACGCTCGAACGCGAGTCCTCGCTTTCCGTCCCGTCCCACGCGGTCCCCTTCGTTCCCGGCACGCCATCCAGGACGCGTTTCTGCTTCGTTCGCTTCCGAAAGAGGCGGGGCGGGCTGGAAGCCTTCTCGACCTCCTTTGGGACGCCCTTGATGCGTTCCTTCTTTTCCCGGGCCCGCTGTTCCTGCCTCGTTCGGCCCGGGGGATCCCTCGGCCGCGAGGCCGGAAAGAACGAGTGCCCCTTGCGGCTGCGGGTGGGGGTCACCTTTCCCGGGGGCGATGCGACGGCCCCCTTTTGGCTCTTCGGGGAGACCGATCGCGGGAGAAAGGACTTASACTGGGGATCGGGCTGCTGCGGCAGGGCCGGCTTGGGTTCCGGGGTGATCGCGGAGGGGTGGTTCTTCGGGGGGGACGAGTCGTCTCGCTCCAGGTCCACCGCCACCGTCGAGGCAAAGACGGTAGACTCGTTGTTCTGCTTAGAGAGTTCCCGCTGCTGCTGCCGGCGCAGGTGCTTGATGGCTTCCTCCGCAATCTCGTGGTTGTTCTTGAAGAGGTTCTTGGAGGTTTCCTGGAGGGCCGACCGCGCGGTGGCCACCGGCCTCGGCAGCGGCCTTCGCTCCTTCCGCTGCGGGGACTGTGAGACCCTTTCCGGATCGAAGCTGCTATCGGGGGTGACGGTCGTCCCCGCTGTTGGCAGGGTGCCCGACTGGGAACGGGTGGTCTTCTTCAGGGCTTCGTCGCTGCTGCCATCGTCGTCCGTGAACGGGCCCCCCGTGGTGCAGGAGGAAAACATGGCATTTACCACAAACTGCAGCGAGTGCTGCGCCGTGGACGGCCGCGATCGCAGTATGTCGTCTTCTTCGTCGTCGTAGGTTCCGCAGCTTCTCTGGGAAAACAACCCAATGGGCACACCGGGAACCCTCATGGATTCGTCGCTCTCCTGGGACCTGCCGGTCTTTGTCACCGAGGACCAGAACCGCGAGGCCGTGGCTTCGAGCTGCTCCTTTACGTTTAGGGGCTGCCTCGGCACCTCGGGTGGTTGCTCTTCTTGCTCAAATTCGTGTTGTGGGACCGTCATTGCGGCGAGTGCTATCTTGCAGAGATCGGTTCGTTGTTAGAGTTGTGAAATGAAACCGGATCAAAARCAATGGGAGAGAGTGCAGCTTTTGTGTGTTCTATCGATCCACAATGCATTTGTTGTTTTGCTTTAGTGGGTTGCTTTGCGTTGCGAGTTCGAATTCGAGCGGGTCGTGCCTAACCCGTCTCTCTGGTTTCAAAAGCCAGGTTTCAAACAGAGGATCTGGATCGACTCTTGGTTTTGGTTGACTATAGAATGAGCCGAAGACTTGCCGCGCTACAGTCTTCAGTCATTTACTAGGAAAATGGTTTGTTTGTGGTTGGGCCCAAATGGTTTCAATTCTCAACGCATGTACTGTAACGATGTAACACAAGGAGTCGGATGAAAACCAAGGGAGTGCGCAAACCACGAAATGGAAAGAAACCACCGACGGGCTGCCGCCACTATTCTCTTTCTGTGTGTGTGTGTGTGTGTGTGTGTGTGAGTGTGACTGCCTAGGTACTTCGGTGTTTCCCGCCGGCTTCCTCAAACACCAAACCGGCCTCAATAGGAACGGAACGGTCGGGCGAGGAGGGTTGTGCGGAAACTTCCACCGATTGCTTGTTTCGCTCCTTGGTTCGTTCGTTTTTCGACTCTTTGTGCGACCTATCTGTCAACAAAGAATACTATGCCGTTCGTGGCAATTTTTGTTTTTCTTGACGAAAATTTTAAAGTGTGACGGGGTTACTATGTCCGGTAYTGAACGGGTTAGCACCGATGGAATTTGTCAAATCCGAGCCGGGCTTTCCTTTTACAAGACTTGCTCCCCCCTCTTTTGTGGGGAACCGGGGGAGGCGGGCTCGAATCAAACCAGGCAACCCGGTGCGTGCCTCCACCCCCATGGGGCGAAACGACGAACGCACGCCTCGGATTCTGGCATTGTTCTTGTTCTTTGGTTCTCCGGGGTCACAGCCTTCGGCGATCCCGCGCGGTTTTTTTTGGTTGTGCGCGTGGCGACGGTGTTCGGCGTGGGAATCCATTGCCTCCCGCGCTTCTGGATCGTGCCGGTCATTTTCTTTCGGGGGGTGCAGGGGGGGGTTCACAGTCTGTGTCCTCCTCCTGCGAGTGCGAGTGCGAGTGCGTGGTGCTTTGTAGCTTCTAGAGAACGGTACGTAKTTAGTCGTACAGAGACAATGCTTTTGGGAACGTGAACAAAAATGGGAAACACCTCTTGCTGCATTGCCGATCCACAGCGTCGACCCACTCTCCTCCCCAATAATTGGTAATCACGACTGAAAAAAGATTTTCCCGTGCCGTGAAGCGAGATGGCATTCGTAATTCGTACGAGTAGTACTCGTACTGCAACATGTAACAGGCTTAGTGCTGTATGTACTAGAGTGAACTAGGAAACATATGATGTTAGAACCGAACGAGTTTGTACGGCAACCGTCTCGTTTTCGTTCCAGATCAGGACCTCTGCTCTGTACCGCACGATCGTAGCGGCTACGTACAGTATGCTTCGTCTCTCGARACGAAGAAATGCTTGGTGCATCGAAGCGCGAACGGTAGGAATCGAATGGAACCAAAACAGGCAGCCCCTCCCGGCTTCCGAACCCAATCGCAGACTCGCACCGGTACGTACCATACTCGTACCAATACCGACCCATCCCCACACCCACCGAGGAAGGGATTCGGCACACCACAGCACACAGCAAACAGCACACAGCTACGGTACSTACCAGGCCACCATGGAATTCGGAAAGTGCGTCGCGGAACCCTGCGCGGACGATGCCACCGATTGCGCCGATCGGGCCGCCGGGGGCAGGCCCAAAAAGACCTCCTGCACGATCCTGACGGGCTTTCTCGGCGCCGGAAAGACGACCCTGATCAACCACATCCTCGAGAGCAGGGACCACGGGCTCCGCGTGGCCATCATCGAGAACGAGTTCGGGGAGGTCGGCGTCGACGACGCGCTGGTGATCGAAACGGAGGAGGAGGTCTTCGAGATGAACAACGGATGCGTCTGCTGTACCGTCCGGGGGGACCTCATGCGGATCCTCGAGAAGCTGGCCAGGGACGGGGCGGGCTTTGACCACGTGCTCATCGAAACGACGGGGCTGGCCGATCCGGCCCCGGTCGCCCAGACCTTCTTTGTCGACGAGGACGTCAAGCAAAACTACGAGCTGGACGCCATCGTGACGGTCGTCGACGCCAAGCACGTCCTGCCGCACCTCAGGGAAGAAAAACCGGAGGGCGTCGAGAACGAGACGGTCGAGCAGGTCGCCTTTGCCGACCGGATCGTCCTCAACAAGCTCGATCTGGTGACGGACGAGGAAAAGGCCGAGGTCCTCGGGGAACTCCGCAAGATCAACGAGTTCTGCGAGATTCTCGAGACGGAGCACTCCAGGGTCGACGTTCCGAGCATCCTGGGCATCGGGGCCTTTGACCTCTCCAGGGTCCTCCAGGAGGAGGAAGACTTCTTGAACACGGACGCCGAGCACGAGCACGACACCTCCGTTTCCAGCGTGGGAATCGAGTTCGGGGGCCGGCTCGACCTCCACCGGCTCAACACCTGGCTGACCATACTGCTGCGGGACCACGGCGTGGACATCTTCCGCTCCAAGGGCATCCTCTGCATCGACGGATCGGACGCCCGCTTCGTCTTCCAGGGCGTCCACATGCTCATGAGCATTTCCAGCTCGGACGACGGCGTGGGACGGCCCTGGAAGGACGGCGAGGCCAGGACCAACCGCCTCGTCTTCATCGGGCGGAACCTGGACCGGGAGAAACTCAACGCGCGGTTCCGGGAGTGCCTGGTGGCAGGAAGCTACTAACGAACTTCCAGCGGGCGCATACGACCATGGATCCTTATACTACTATGCGTGGGGCACGCCAGCCCCGACCAGAGACGACGGCGCACGCAAAGCCTAACAAACTAACTTTAGCAACTACAGTAACACAGTGGCACACCCATCAAACCCCAGACGTGCGCACGGTGCTCCATAGAATACATTGGATTGCACTGCTAGTAGCACGTCTTGTTCCGTGATGTAGGAGGAAGCAGGCAGCACCTAGTACTACTACTATACCAGGTACAAGTTGCAGTACTACTAGTACTACTCGTATGGTAGTAAAATAGACAGGCAGTAGTATGAAAACGATACTACGAATACTACTAGTAGTATCTGTGCTGCAATACAAAATTGGAAGAGAATCAATGACCAAGAAATTGGGTCATTCCCGTTAGTCTAGAAAGTCTAAATATTGATAGACAGACAGACCAAAAATAGACTTTCTAGTCTCAATTTTTAGACTTTCTGTAAGGCCCCCCCCCCCCCGCCTTACAGATGTCTAAATCTAGTCCGGAATCCAAGAATCAAAATTCCGTTGTAAGACTCAACTGAAATGGAAAAATTTATTACTACGTTACTAAATCTTTTCTTCTTAAAGAAGAAAGCGCCGGCGCCATGGAAGAGGGAAAACATCATAAAAGACAAAAAGAACAACGATGTCCCCTGTCTTAGTGACTGCTCTCCTCTATCGTAGATCCAAACTAAGAGAGGCCCTCTTGCTGGAGGCCTTCTCTCAAGC